TGACATGTCTCTTTGATGGTTCTCTTGCCACCTTGAAGTCAAAGACCTCTAGCTTTGTTTCAAATTTCACCATAGGGGTCTGTTGAGAATTCAGGAAAATGGTGGCTACTGCACAAAGGTCATGCTTTTTGTTTTTGAGACAGGGTCTTACTTTTGCTTGAGCTGGAGTAGTGGTGTGATCACAGCTCACTGCAGCCTTGATCTCTTATTAATTATAGAGACGGGGCCTCACTGTGTTGCTCAGGCTGGCCTCAAATTCCTGGGCTCAAGAAATCCTCCCAAACTTTTGGGATTACAGGTGTAAGCCATGGTGTCTGACCCAAAGTTCAGTTTTGGAATAAGAATTTGGACACTTGACTAGGCGCAGTGGCTCACGCCTGTAATTCTAGCACCCTGGGAGGCCAAGGTGGGCAGATTGCCTGAGGTCAGGAGTTCCATACCAGCCTGGCTAACATGGTGAACCCTTGTCTCTACTAAAAAACACAAAAATTAGCCAGGTATGATGGCACATCCCTGTAGTCCCAATCCCAGCTACTTGGATGACCGAGGCAAGAGAATCACTTGAACCTAAGAGGCGGAGGTTGCAGCGAGCCGAGATTGCGCCAGTGCACTACAGCCTGGGTGACAGAGCAAGAACATCTCAAAAATTTTTTGGACCCTTGCCATCATTCAAGGCACTAGCAACGAGGCCTGTGGAGGGCCCTAAGTGAAGAAAATCAGAAAAGTGAAACACACTAATGAAAATGTTTTAGGAAATCACAGGACAGTCTCTGAAAGCAGGCAAGGATGGAATCCAAATGAGCAGCACCTCTTCCATTATGACAAGAGGAAGGGCAAGGTGGACACGAATGTAAAGCCTGAAGCCTGGAACCCAAAAAATCCATCAAGAATAAAATATCATCACATTTTTCACTTACGTGTCTATGATGGAAACTTCAGGACTGCTCATTAATGAACCCCTGACTTCCTTCATTCACCTGTTTTTGGCAAATGAATCTTGCAAATACCTATTGCACAGATATATAACATTTTGCTTTTCTAGGAACACCATCTGCTTTTAATGAAAATTGAGGAAATATTTTCTAACTGAAGCATATTCTGAAAAAGATCAGAATATACATTTTCTTAAGATTTTCAGCTTATTACCTATTTGACAGCAGAACTAAAATGTTGCCAAATAAAGAAAATAAGTCAAACATGATGGCAGAAGCCTGCAGTCCCAGCTACTTGGGAATCTGCAGGACTGCCTGAGCCTAGGAGTTCAAGGAATCAGTATATGCTATGACCGCACCTGTGAAAAGCCACTGCACTCCAGCCTGGACAACAGAACAAGATCCTAAGTTAGAAAAATAAAGAAAATTATCGAGCTTATAATTCTCTTCTACTTAACAGAAATAGCCATGAATGAAATAAGGAAACTTACAGTTTGATCATCCTCAACCAGTGTTTCAAGAGTCTAATCTGTAATAAAGGTTGGGACCTAACACTTTCAACCTTTTATCTCCAAACTCACAAATATACATTGCTATACTGATTTTAAACTTCAGATATACAGTATTTGGTCAAGTAGGTTACTTTAAAAAACAGGGCAACAGAAAAGTTTCTGAATGTCACTAGACAATTAAACTTTTATTGAAGCGTAAATTGTGATACAGAAATACATTTCAACTGATTTAAAGTCCAACACCAGTGAAAGGAGAAATTATGGCACCAAACTTTCCCTCCTCTATCACATCATGCTTTAGATGATGATTCAATCTACATTTCTGCTTTCTAGGCTTTGTCCCACACAACTTTGTGCAGTTTTTCAACATTAGAATTCTTAATTCTATTAGAAAAAAAGGAAAAAACCCTCCAGACCTCAAGTCAACAAATCTATTGGGATATCATGTATCAACAAAGTCCACCTTGAGCATTGGTCCTCAAAACAGAGCACCTCAAAATACTAGATGCTGTGCTCATTACAGAATCAAATTGATCACACTGATTGAAAACTTCCTCAATGAAACTTTCAATCAACAACATGCTTCAAATAAAAAGTCAGTGTTCCAACCACTTGATTTCCAAACCAAGTAGATGTTAGGTTTAGAAACACTAAAAAAAGGTGTTTCATTTATAAATACGGAAGGAACAAAAACATCACTGCACCAATCCAGAAATTATCAAAATATTTAGAGGACAATATAAAATTCAGTTAACTTTGCTGTTTTCTCAGTTCCTTAAAATCCCAGAGTATCTGCAAATATACCTAAGATACCAACTCTTGAAAGTCTGTATTTCTAGACATTTTCCATTGAGTATTTTAGAATTTTATGTTTTATTTATTTATTCATGTATTCTGCTTCATGATGTTTATCTGAATTTGGACAATTCACATTCTGGACAGTCATTCACATTTCACCCTATGAATGCCATGGTGAGGGAAACACCATAGTTAGAGGAACAGATGAAGTCAGAACACTCACATGCATCACAGTCACAGAACTTTAAGTCACAAGATGAAAAGACACTGATTCTGCTTTGGATCAAAGTTTATAGAACACTAATGGAAACGGTTGCTAAAGGAAAAGTTAAGGTGAATGATCCAAGCTGACTTGATTTACTGAATCCAGAACAAAATTATGTTAAATCTCTCTGGTAATTAACTAAATAAAAATCCTTTTATACCACTACTTAGTAAGTTAGTAAAGGCGTGCTACTCATTAGATGCTAATCTCATTTACTGAGGAACACAGAATTGTTTGTTTTCCACAGTTCAGCCAGTACACTCTAATCTCAATCTACGACTCTGAGTCATCCCTGCTAATCAACTACTTTCCAAAAGAGCACATTACAATAAAAATAAGGCTAAATTCCCATGCCCTTTAAAGAATGTTAAGCCTAGGGACCATCTCCCCCATTTCTCATCTGGGGTATAGAATTAGTATATAAACCCACAGTGTTAACAGTGTATTGCTTTATTTGGGGTCTTGGGGGAGACACCAGGGAGAGGGAAGAAATCAAAGCACTAAAAATGCAGGGTCCAATAATGTTAAAATAGTAAATATGCAAAATGAGTAACTGGAATCATTTTCTTAAGGACTCGACTCATGGAAGAAGAACTTTAATTGCGGTTTCAAAAAACATCTGTATGAA